AACTAGCAGACAGCAGATTTATAGGAGAATGAGAGCCCCAGAGAAATGAACACTGGACAGAATTTCTAAACAGAAATAGGTCTCCAACCCTGTGCAATCTGTTGAGTATTGTCCTAACTATGATCCTCCTACGAACAGGTAGTTCATGTTGGGCTTGTTCCCGTGGAACCCCATAGAACAAGGGTCAAACTACAGTCCATGGGTCAAATCCAGCCTGCCACTTTTTTTTTATAAATAAAGTTTTATTCCTTTACAAGTCAACCACAATAGCAGCCAGAGACCCCATAACCCACAGAGCCAGAAATACTTAAAACCTGGCCTTTTACAGAAAAAAGAGATTTTACTGATCCTACCTTCTAACTCAAGCTATCTCCAGTTGTAGGAAGTGAGGTGTCACATGAATTTTAAGAACATACACAAAACAGATCTGAAGACAGATTTGACACCTGTCTCAAATCCCCACAGTAGGAAGAGGATCTGAAGACATGCGAATATTATAATAACATCTCTCTCCTTGTTTCTACCAGTTCTAATCTCACCAGGTTCCTTCCAGTTACATTTGAAAGAAATTATTAAGTACCTTCACATCCGTTCTGCTTGAATTCATATGCGCGCGCACGCGCGCACACACACACACACACACACACACACACACAGACAGCCAAGCAGGGACTTACACCAGGGTCTCTAGTTTACAGTCAGGGTAACCCAAGCCCTCGCACAGAAGTTTCACTCCACTATTTCCGAGGTCGTTCTTGGCCAAGCACAGGTACCTCAGCTGCTGGTGGACCACCAAAACAGAAGCAAGTGCCTTGCAACAGGCTTCCGTAAGGTGACAGTCCTCCAACCTGCAAGAATATGAAACAAATGGTAAAGTGGTAAACACACTTCCAAAAATCCAATCTTCTTGGCTATATCCAGATGCAAAAGACCTCAGCTACACACAACCCCTCTTGTTAATTCCCTGCCCTCTGTCATCTAGTAGTGAGCACAGCCATGAGTGAACAGGAATGAGACGGCCAACACGCACCAGCCATCCACTTGGGACCAAAAATGAGAAGCAGGTATTTATGTCAGCGAGAGGTTCCGTATGGGCTCTTAGCAAGTGAGACGTTTGTTACCTTTTCTCTTCTATGTCCCCAGACCTCAAACAGATGCTCCACGGGAAGAGAGAATACTTACGACAGCCTCTGCAGGAAGCACTTTGGGTCTTTCAAAGTCGTGTGCAGCAACTTGACACCCTCATCCAGGAGCTCGTTGGCTGAGAGGTCCAGGCATGTCAGCGACTGGTTGATTTTGAGGGCCGAGGAGAGATCGGCCCATTGCTGAGCTGTAGCAGAATGAAATCCCAACCTGCGGGAGAAACGGGAATAAGTCATTCTTCCAGGAGGACAGACAGACTATCAGATCATCCTTCACTTCCCTGAAGACCATGTCCTTGGCTTATGTCACTCCTCTCTAATAAGTGTCCAACCTGGCCTGAATTACCAGAGAGATCTGATCTTCTTTGCTTCCTCCCGCATCCCCACGGACATCTGGTCAACATCTAAGCTCATCTCCAAGAGACTGTAACACAACTCTGTGTGAAGTTTCACCAGCATGGTTTGCTTAGATTCAAGTACGTGATTCCATAGGAAAAATTGATGCGATTGTCTCATGGAGGGCAGGCCTATGCAAACCTACCCCAAAGCCCAAGGAAGCCAAAAGACCAGAGAAAGAGGCTGACATACCCAGTTTCTCAGGAAGAATCATTAATAGGGACTTATGAACAGAAGCCATGTCTTAGGTGGTGGCGAGATGAGATGGGAGATCCCCAAGCATAACCCCCAGACCCAGGGCTTATATATCACAGGGAAGGAATGTATAAAACAGCTGAAGTCCACCCTCAGAGAAAGGCAAGAATGCCCCATGGATCTGCCTAAGGGCGGGACTTCTGGGCGAGGTTTTTTGTTGTTGTTGTTGTTGTTGTTGTTGTTGAGACAGAGTCTCACTCTTTTGCCTGGGCTAGAGTGAGTGCCGTGGCGTCAGCCTAGCTCACAGCAACCTCAAACTCCTGGGCTCAAGCAATCCTTCTGCCTCAGCCTCCCAAGT